ACCACAGTCACTGACTCCATCCTGTGCGCGCACACACACACACACACACAGAGTAGGGTTGGGCCTCGGAGAGAGAGAGAGAGAGAGAGAGAGCAGTACCTGAACACTGGTTGTGCGTAGTGTCTGGATATGGCGATTTGTCAGCTCCGTACGGACCGATAGCTCAGGCGAGAGCTGAGCTGCGTTTTCTATAATTTTATATGTAATTATTTACTTCTTCTGGCTCCACCTCTGACCTCACCCAAGAGTATGGGCCCTACCCCAACCCAACCACGAATCAATTGTTATATTATAATCATTTCTTAATTTAATTTTTTTAATACAATTTAATTCTTAAACAGTAGTTTATACGAAATCTTATATCAACGAAGGATCAAAATTTTTTTCAATATATTATTTTAGAAACGTTTTAACCCGTTTTAAAAATATAATAAAAAAATTAATAATAGTTTTTTTAAAATATTGATTGAAATATACTAAAATGTCTTGAAAGAACTTGAAATATTTCGTAACAATTGTACAAATACATTAAAATATTACAAAATGCTTCAAAATATTATAAAACAAGTCGAAATATTAAAATTTTAATTTTATTATTAATTCGTTTCGATCTCTTTAAAATCGAAAATGTTTTAGATACTTCGATCATTTCAAAACGAAACTTCGAAAGAATTAATGTTTTATGTGTAGCTCTAAGTTATATTCTGCTCTTCTTTATTCATCTCTTTAGAATTCTATTTTACGCTTTTTTCAAAATTTATTCGAATTGTAATTGTGATCAATTGAAAAATGTGAAAGAAAAGATGTGTTTAGTTGAATCGAAACCAAACTTTAAATAATTATAATATATTTAAAAGGAGGATGGGATTGAAAAACCCACTGATAAAAAAAAAAAAAAAATCAACCAACCAACCAACCATTCTTCTTTTACATGGGACTTGGTCTTGGTGGTTGGCAGATGAAAAGGTCAATAATTGAGCACCAATTCAATTATAAAGTGGGTGGTTAAGTGGCATAGTCTATGTGGATCCGTATCTTCCACCTTTATTGTCTTTTTTAAGTCCTATTCCTAGTCTAATATACCGGAAAATTAGATACCCATTGATTGTATTACATCAAGGATGATCAAAGCAAATTTGATGTACATTCACAATCACTTAAACAAGTGGTTGTTAAATAATGGAATCAACGTCAAAAAACCATTGCTACTATATCAATTAACTAACACCATGTTTGGTACATGATATTAGATTTTAAAAAAGGAATAGTCATTTCTTTGTTTGGTTTGTGGGAATAAAATTTTATTTTCATTCTTTAAGAATAATTTATCCCACAAATAATAAGATTAGTCATTCCCAAATAAACTAAGGTATTAGTCATTCTTTTACCATCAGTAATCAGCCTAAATTAAGTCGACCAAAAACCCGATCGTCCTATTTTTCTTTGTCTCTCGCTTCTCTCATCACTGCTCATCGTTCAACCCTCATCCTTCTTCTCTCCTCTCCTCTCCTCCCTTTTCTTCACTTCACCTCTGTGACTTTTCCTTCATCAACTGAAAGCATGACAGTCCATCCCTCTCCAGCCATTGTCAGCTTCTTCCTCATCTCTTTGTGATGCAAGGGACAAGATTGATGAGCAGATCAGATTTGGCATTGCCACTAATCTCATGTAACTCTTCTCTTGGCCTATGAGATTTATCATTTTATAGTTTGGTTGATGGTTGATAGTAACTCTTCATTGCACCGATACTTCATTTTTTTCTAAGGTTTTGGAGATATGAATTTGATTTACAAGCACATACTTTGTTTATTTCTTCTCTATACTGTTCATTTTTTCACATAGATTATTGAATATATCTATAAACATATGTAAGTGTTTTTATATATTGTTGTAGCAGCGTCTGTTTGTAATTGGATTATGGTGATTTGGGTCTTGCTTTGAAGGTATTTGAGAAAATTTTTGACATAAACATGGTTTACTAGATTTCTATAATTGATGGACTTTTTTTTTGATAATGATAGACTCCTTAAGGCTATAAAATTATTCCAAAAAATGGTGGAATATGTATTTAGCAATTTCTAATAAGTAAATTTTATGTACCTGATTTGTACCTTGAAAATGTTTGATGTATAAGTTTTAAATACGAATTTCTTTATTTTTACAATGGAGGACTTGAAAGTAACCTGCAATTCACATGCTTATTAGTAACATTTCATTTTATTTTTAAAAAAATGATGATTCTTGACCTTTTAGTTTTGACACAATCTTGAAGAACTATAATAGAAGAGATTGACACACATTTTACAGGTTGATCATAGCCATTTTGTATGTTAAAATAGTTTACGGGGATATTTTACGAAACTTGTCTTTTTACCCCATCAAAATACATAATTGTATAATAATAATTTATTGTTTGTTTCACAATTACATCAGTGATCAAATGTCAATAGACCCAATTGAGGCAGAGGTAAATGCAACAGGTCTCATGGTGGAAAATGATGCACATGATGATTGTATTACTACGTCCAACGAGTGGTCCACATTTAAATTGAATTTAGCAAACAAAATATTTGATGAATGGAGAGCAAGTAGACAAAGAGTGTTATTTTTTGTACTTGTATTTGAGAATGATTTTGTTTCTTGCAATTCTAACTAAAATGCTACTGAGATTAAATTAATGGAATTTAAGAATTCTTGTTTTTAATGAACTTTGTTTTTTTTTCTATACACTACTGAGTTTTTGTTTACTTACTTTTCATCGATTTATTTTTTGGTTCAACCTACATGTTCACATAAAATTCCTAATTATTTTGATAGTTTTCTTTTTGGGTTTGCACATGTGCTCTATTAAATTCACACAAAACTATAGTTATTCATTTAGAAATGAATGACAAATTTTAAATATTTTTTTATTTTGATTTTGATTTCTTTTTGTGAACCTATTTTTTAAGAAATTTGTTTTGTAATTTTTTAAAATTTATAGGGGTTTAATTTTTTTTCTATGGATTCTCATTTGTTCTAATTATAAATTTTTTTAAACATAACTTTTAAAAATAATCGCAATCATAAAAAAAATTATTATTAATTATTTTTAACCACTATGGATATTTTGGTTAAAATTGTTTCCATTCCAATGAAATAATTGTTTTATCCAAACATAAGAATGGAATGAACATTTCATTCCAACACTTAATCCTAAACAATTGCTAAACATTAAAATTGTAATGCATATTTTATTCTATTTCTAAACTCATTTCATTCCTACTGAAAAAAAATTTCACATACCAAACGCAACGTAAGAGTAACCATACTTGAATACACGGAACATTGTAAATAATTTTAAAAGAAATGTTAATGGTCCTTAAATGGTTCTATTTGAGACCGTCAGCTTGACTTATTCAAAATTATCATATTTTATATTATAGATAGCAATAAATTAAACTAATCTTGTAATATTAATATTTTAAATAATAATTAAATTTTAAGTACACAATTTAAAATTACAATAAAGAGAAATATAAATATAAATATATGAAATTATTTAACATTTAGTAGTGTTTTACTTAAGTTCATTGACATAAGAAAGTTGTGCAAAAAGGTTAATGTTTTTTAATAAAAAAACAAAATTAAGATGAATTTTATATCATTAAATCGAAATAAATCAATATTGAATCAATCTTGCTCGTTGTTTTGCTTTTGTAAGTTACGAATTCAACTTCACTTTCAACTTCATAACTGTAATATTAAATAGATACCTCGAGCAAAGAAAAGGGCCAAAAAAAAAAAAATTCATAAGTTCAAAACTCATCATCAAGGATTTGAAGAAATGAGATTTTCATCCTCTTAATTACAAATTTTATCAATTTCAATCAAGCTATGCCTATTTTTTAAAGCACGGGATTGATGGAACTCATGAGAGATCCAAAAGAAACGTTGCCACTTAAAGGAGTAGGTAAGCTAAACACTAATAAAGGCCTGAAATTAATAAGCAATTTTGCACATTTTCCATATCCTTCTTGAGCAGCATCAAATGGGAGGAGATCATACAAAAAACAGAGGTGACTAATCCCCCTTCACATTTGTTTACTTGTCCTACTTTTCTTTTTGTTCAAGTAATTTTCACAAAATTAAATCACCATTTATGGTCCGAATTTCGTCACATCGTTGAAATCGCTGCCTCCAAAATTTGTCCTGCATAAACTGGGAGAAGAAAGAGGAGCTATAAGCTAACGCAGAGGAATTACACTTTCCATAGGAATATGTAAACATGAACATAAAGACAGCGAGGCTCCACATCTTCAGCCTTCTCACCTGGACTCCCTTCCGAGGGGGACACAGTGAAGCCCCAAAGTCACCACCAGCTTAAAACTTCTTGACCGGGATTCAGAGGCATACGTATCAGGCCCACCCAGACAGACTAAGATTTAGCCAACACCAACCTTGCTGCATCTAAAGAGCTCACCAAAATGATAATCCATACATCCCAAGTCCATTTTGAGCCATGTAGTGAGGCAAAATTGAGACGCTAACATGCCTCACGTCCACTGGGGTCAAAACTATTTATTCTCAAACTTTTTGGCTCTCCATATGGTTTAACCATGTGTATAAATATTCCACCAACCAAATTTCAATAGTGTTAAGCAGATGAAAGGAGCAACACCAGAAGACATGATTCCAGAAATAAAGTGGTCATTCAACAAGCAAATCTGAACTTCAAGGTGCTAATATACATATTTACATGCATAAGCATACATGTAGTTATATATCATAGTGTGTACATGCATGCATACATAAAAATTTCAGGACACATCATAAAAATTTCAGGACAGACCTCAGTATGGCGAAGAAGATCCACATATTAAGCAATTGAATCAATGCATCATGCAGCTTCACGTATCTTGGAGTTTGGTGAACCCAAAACATTGGCAGGTGCCTTTGCCAGATGAACCTTGACATTTCCACCAGCTTGTCCAGCAGAGCTCTTAGTATTTGCAGTCTCAGAAGTCATAATAGACTTTTTTATCTGCCAAAGGAATATATTATAGACCGACAAGGATAAAACAAATCTGTGAAAGTTTGGGACTAGCCCCCTTTGGAAACAAAAAATATCACTCCCTTATACCTATCCAGTGACTTAAGCATCCATCACGCTATAGCCTAACAAGTCAATGATGGGTCCCTTTGTGTGTGTGTGTTCATTGTGAGAATAACAAAAGAACTACTGAAGCCAAACCTACCACAGAAAGTCGCTCCCTATGAATATCACTTGTAAACTGCAAAGCCATCAAACAGCCCAATTAAACGTGCATACAATTCAAAGAATGTGTTTGAGCAACAAAAACATGTATCAATATAAAGATGAAACCCCCAACATCACATGTATACACACTCTTATGCAAGACTGACGCTTCTTCATATACAAATAACCAGTCACTAAACTTTTTACCGGTTTTCTGTAGCTCTTAATCTCATCCCCACCAAAACCAGGAAGTGCAATATTCCAGTTTCTTTCTGAATCAAGAGAATAGGGAAATTAACCATTGCTTGTCTACATGATGAAACATCAGTTAATAAGAAGGATAATCTTGCAAAACTGACCAAGATGTAAAAGAATATCCTTGGCTTCCAATGTACTTGATTTCCGATGCTTAGCCAAAGAGCAACCAAAGGTTGTTATCTGCTCCCAGCAGACACAATAAAAATACACAAATAAAAATGTCAAAAAGAAAAAAAGAACAGACCAGCACAATAAAACTGATACAATAAGAAAACTACTTCTAAGCAGTGCTCGGATAACAAAACGAGATAATAATACGTTGTTAGCAATAAGTTCTGCTTCCTGTTAATGGTATTATTGACAACAAAAGGAATCCCAAATACAAACCTTCCCTACATCCAAGTAAAACAACTATGCATCGAAATAAATAGTTAGTTTTATTAAAAAAAAATTAAAAACGTATTCATTAACTCACAGATTCCACAAATTCATCTGCAATATCCACAAGAATGTCTTCTACTTCAGGATCCAACCTTTCTGATGGATCAATCTGACCAGGAAGAAAAGAAGTCAATGATAAGGACCAAAAAGGATCACAAAAAACATATTAGTACTCCCTCTGTCTGTGAAAAATTGCAACCATTTACTTATTTGGATGTCCCTAAATGATTATACACTTTGAAAAGCAATGGGGTGATTATTACAAGATTTGTCCTTTCCAAGATAAACTTATTTCGAATACTGCTCCACAACCAAGGGTATAAATGACATTTTGAACTATAACAATGGATCATATACCATAGTTTCCTAAAACAATTAGCTGCTCTGAACAAGGTGCTATCTTTCAAAGATGAATGAAGAAGGTGCACACCATAGACTAAAGAATTTAACCAAAAGATAATACTGTGACGTACCAAAAAGTTTAAGAACAAAAAAATCATCAATCTTTGCTTTCGTCTTGATATCATCTTTCTTCTTTCCTTGTTATGACAAGTTTCATTTACCATTCACAAACACTAAAAAGGACACTACATATGCCTCAATGGTTCTTTCCTTTTCTTCATTTGAAAGTGCCACAGAATTTAATGCTGTTATAGCTTCCCCATTCATAGTGAAGGTACTAAGAATGTTGACCTAGAACTCTATGATTTATTCCCATGCCTCCACCTCCCAAACTAGAAAAGGAGAGGAGATGAAAGGTCTTGCCAACCTTCAAAAAAGGGGGGGCTTGACCAAGTTATTAAAAGGCATCTTACAACTTTCTTAAGAACATGTAAGCCTTAGTTAAGAAATAAAAAACCACTGCCGAGTTACTAGAAAAGGTAGCGACCCAATGATAATTTTGTGGTATACATCTTCTGCATCAATTAACTCATCAAATGGATGCCAATATCTTAAAATGCCACTACATACCGTTTATATCATCGTAGTCTGGAGGATAATGGGTATGAAAGATGTCAAACAGTCTAGCAGTCTGCACAAAAGAGGTAGAAAAATAAAAATAGAAGACCGACACGCTCACCTGGGTAACAAGCTCTTGGATACTTCTCTTGCTCAGAATCCTGTTACAAGTTTCACTAGATTCTGCAATAGATGTTCTATTAGGAGGTCCCAGCTGGGATGTACTAGGTTGTACGGTTGCATGAAACGAAGGTTTCTGGCCTCCCAATCCCTGACCTCTTGTAATTTGTTGCTGATGGGGTAATGATTGTTGGATCCTCGATGATGGAAACTGTTGCTCATAATGCTCTTGTGGCTGATGTGAAGGTGGAGGTTGTTGGACAGAGGATGACTGCTGTTGCAGTGAAGCTGTTATGGAACGATGTTGCTGAGGAATATGGGATCTTTGCTGCAATGATTGTGGGTTCATTTGTGCTCGTGGTGATGAGGGCGGTAATGGAGGCTTCCCTTGTGGTCCAGAAGACAACCACGGTTGAGTATGAAGCTGCGAACTTTGCGACGTGTTAGGTGATGGCGAACTAGGTGATCCCACAGTTGAACCCCTTAACATGCTATGCCCTTGAAAATTCTTCAGAAAGCAAGAATAAAAAACAAAGACAACTTAGATGAATATGCAAAACAATATTTCATAGCCACCTGTAATTTTGGGAGGGGCACAATGGAATCAACTACATCATTGAAAGGACCATGCTAATGTTAGATATAATTGACTATGTTGGTCTGTACATACAATCTTCCAATAGCACTAATTCATGATACTAACGCAAAGACGTGACGTCAATTTTTTTAACAGGTTCAAACCTAATATTTATCAATTTACTTCCAAAGCTTTGTTTGATTTAGAGTAATATAATTTCGGCTTTTTCATGCTTTCGGTTACTTGCAAAATGTTATATAGATTGTTGGGGACAAAAGGAAACTGCTGAAAAAAAAAAACTAAATATATCTCAAGGTTTGTTCTGCAAATCAGTCATAACTGTCCTCTGGGCATTGCAAGTATCACATAAAACAATGAACCTATATGCACATTAAAACAAATCCTTCTGTGTACCCACATAAGCACTTACATGTAAATGCACAAATTTCTCCAATATATATGCAAGAAACGCATAAATAAGCACTTGCATGTAAGTTCACAAATATTCTCATCTTATATGCTGTATACATGTCTGAAAAAAAGTATGCATATGAACACCACATCATGGACAATCACCCATAAATTTGCAATGTGCATATGTACGCACATGTATGGACTCTTATATGAGCATAACACATTCTCATTTCATTAGCAAATGTACTAGCCTGTAACATGAGTACGTACGTGCAATCAAGTATAGTTAAATGCAAACATACGTGCATAAACATGCACATATAGCACCAATTTCTTCCTTTTTTTTTTTTTGATAGAAACACCAATTTCTTCTTCATAAATACTATAGTTAACCAAAATGCATTGTATCATTACAAAACACAGACGAATGTATTAATCAAAAGCCATAATCCATAGTGCAAATGAAATGCCCTCTGTTGATATTGCCCTGCATCTAGACTCAACCATGAAAATAAAACAGAGGTTTGCATATAATGAAAAAATCTCTAGTGTCAAGGATACAACTCAACCATCTACATCCTTCCACAATCCAAAACATGTCATTGTTGATAGAGTCCTCTAACTAAAGGCTGTTTCACCATTGAACTTGGCAAAACACATCATCTGCTGGCAGCACTGACACTTCTCAGAAACACACGACAGGCATAAGAAATTATCTGATAACGAAATCAGAACTTAAAACGTATACCTAACTTCACCACAGAATACAGGCACTTTCAACTGCTAACAATCTTATTTCGTGTTTTCTACTCATTCAAATCCTTCCGGATGTGCAGTCTGATACAACTCAAGACATGTGACCAATAGAAGGTCAGGAGCTAAATATTTGGTTATCAAACCAATGAACTGCACAGCTGACCAATAATTCCCAAGACAAGAGTTACAAAACAGGATGAAATAATAAAATCAAAATATACACAGCTCCAACTTAACATGTTTGCCCCTTCGTAAATTCTGCAAAATGTTGGGAATGCCTTCAGAGAAACTAACATGATTACAATATTAAGCCAGTGACAAAATCTATCATATCTACTCTCCTCTAAATATAACTGTAGTAGTGTTCATACTTCATACAAACTGCCTGTTTCATGGATCTTGACAATACAATAGTATAATCACCTCAAATAATTTACATATCCTTGCCTCGCCTGAGGGTTGACCTTTTTAAATCCAATAATCCTCTCATACAAAAAAACAAAACCTATTTACAAACACCTTTCCCAAATAATGTGACAGCGGAGAAGATAACATATGCATTGCAACCTCAAAGAACATTTCTTATCAAAAGTTGTAAACACAAAAAGTGGTTTAGAAGGACTTTGCAGTTTCTTCATCAAACGAGCCTCAAAGCTCAAAATGCTGCTGCAGATCAGGATTTCTTGGCATGCTATGATTTCTGTATTATTTTTTTTTTGCTGACAGGATTTACTGATACATGAGTATGAATGCATATAAACATCAGTCGCATCTTTTCTTAACGAAACTTCTGGGATATTTGTTTTGATTGCTTCCTTTCGTTCTTAAGCGGGCTGGACCAGCGGTGATTGAAAACTCCGGAAAAGTGAAAATGTGGTTGGTACACAAAGCACGTTTGATAACAAACAAAGGAACTAGTATTTGAACCAAAGCTTTTAGTTAGAAGAGTCCGAATTTTCTGCCAGAAAAGCTTGACTTCTGGCTTAAAAAGATGACTGAAAGGAAGTTTACTAATTCACTTAAATCTTCAAAAAAAAAAAAAAGACTACAAACTGGAACCATTACGCAAATCACTTCCTGTGGCACCCGCGTCTAATCTTTCTCTAACCTAATTTTTCTAGACACTTCCAAATATCTTATCTGTAACAATACCTAATATTAATGTCAGCTTGAGACAATGAACCATACATTAGTTATAAACCAGGTTAACCCAAGAGACCATGTATGATTGCAATTCTTGAACAAAGTATACTTGAGGGAATTTGCTTTCGTAGAATCTCCTTAAAACATTGGTGAAGAGTTCAAAAGTACTACACTTGGCATAAAATTGCTCTGTTTTCTGAATCCTCTTTCCAAATCAACAATATAAAGAAAAACATTGAGGTGGCAGGGATTTCCTGAGTGATCAATTCAGACTCTCGTTACCAATAGAAACATGGCCTACTCCACGCACCTGCCATCGTATAATATAACCATGCAAAGTGTGTAATATCATCAAAACTAGAACCGGTAAGCAGAAATATGAGAGAGAGAGAGAGAGATCAACACCAAGTACTGACTTGCGAAGCAGGTGTCGGGTTATTTGGGTTTGTCTGTGGTCTAAGAACTGACTGGCCAGGTCTCAGTTGATGGTGTGCAGGAACCACACCAGGCCGCATTGATGAACTCGAACCAAGTGATCCCATCATTCCCATTCCTTGTATTGGTTGTCTCGCCTACATATTTCAAAAAAAGAGTAAGACAACAAAGGACCAAATAGACAAACAAAATCTAGACAACCCAAATTATGTCTATATACTAACAAAATTTCTGTGTGTGAATGCTAAACATATAAACATTTACAGCTACATATGCAATCAAAAAAGAACCCAATTCAATCCACACACATCCAAAATGACTTCCATCATCCAAACAGTATATACTACATATACACAAGCAATCTAATGCATCTCAGTGCATTAAATAATACATCTGTAGGAACAATAGCAATCCAACACTAAAGTAAACCCAACTCCATTCACAAATACCCAAATGATCTCATCACCAAAATAAACTATACATCGAAATATACGAGCAAACGCATATAGGAGCAAGAAACCAAAACGCCACCTGGGATGTGCTCGAACTGGCCACAGAATCAGGCAAATTTGCCACATTGCGACCCAATCCGCTATATTGCTGACCAAAAGAAGGCGGCGTCAGAGAGGAAAAAGAGGCGGGCGGTGGCGGAGGAGGGTTCGGGTGGTGCGCAGGAACCCCAATGGCCATTCCACCCCTTTGTGGAGGTGCCGCCGATATCGCAGACGAAGTAGAAGAGGAAAAGGGCGGCACAGGCGGAAGTGAAGGCGAAGAGCTCGAGAAGTGAGGGAAACTTGAGGGTTGTTGCCATGGTCTGTTGAAGGGTGGTCTTGCTTGTTGTTGGTGGGGTTGTGGGTTTGGTTGAGAGGTGGATGGTCTAGGGTTAGGGTTTGGGGAAGAAGTTGAAGGTAGTACGGAAGAGGGAGGTGGAAGAGATGATGAAGTTGAGGGTGGTGATGGTGGTGTTTGCGGTGGCTGTGGTGGAGGTTGCTGCTCTGTTGATGGTGTTGATGTTGTTGTTGCTGGTCGTTGTTCCATTAAATTTTTGAGAAGTGGGGGTGGGGATGAGATACGTGCACAACTGCACATATATTTAGTGAGAGCGGCGGTTGCTCGGCCCCACTAACCCCAGCCCCTCCCACCGGGGCCTGTCTTCTTTCCCCCCGGGGACCCCACGCCAAACTAAATTGGATGTAGATGGGCTTTGAATATTAAGGGAGTTTGGGATTACGTTAAACGATTACAAATTGAGTTTAATTGGGTTCATATAAAAAATTAGTAAATTTATGTATCACTTTTTTTAATAAATAAGTAAAAAATTTTAAATTAAGCAGAACTCAATTATAAAATAGATTACAAAACGCGATTATTTTAACCCGTTTAATAAATAAATTAAATTGTATACGGCCGAATTAACATAATAACTTTTTTAACATGTCACTTGTTTACTTGATCCTCCTCCCAAAAATCAAGATCAAATATAATAGAGAGACTTTCATACATTTTCACTCAATTTCATATAAATTACTCACCAAAATTTCATGTAATTCCTACTTATATTAATAGTAGGCGATATAATATTGAATAACATTAGAAAAACAAATATAGTAGAGAAAATAAAAAACCCACAAATTAAAATTAGAAAAACAAATATAATAGAGAAAATAAAAAAAAAACCCACAAATTACTCTTACTTCTTTGCTAATATTTTTTGAGATAACAATATTTTTTATGAATACACAAAAAAATTGTTTAAAAAAAGGGAAAAAACACACAAAAGGGAATTTGGATCGAATTACTTATTAATATGTTCTATAGGTTAGATTGTTTTAGAGAAATAAATATTCAGTGTAAATAATAAAAACACTTTATTATTGTTGTGTGGTATTATTATTCGAGTAATACTACAAAATCCGAAACTCAAAAAGTTACAATTCAAATATATATCATCCCTTAGATGAGTGGATCTCATCAATTTTTTCAGTAGAACCTATTCATTCCACACTCATTCAAGGAATAATATGTATTTGAGTTTTAATTTTTGAATTTCATTTGAGTTATGTAACATTTTTCTTATCAATGATAGGTTGATTTGAGTTTTATTATACTTTATAACTTTCTTTTACGATATTTGAGTAAAAAAATTACATTTCTCCTTTTTTTTTTAAAAAAAAAAAACATAAAAATCATCAAATATGTAGACTTTTGATGCAAATATTTTGAATCAATATTCAAAATTTTTATAATTTTATATCATAAATTTCATGAAATGCATAGTCTAAATCAATATAGAAACATTATTATAGGGTGCACTTTCAATAGAAAACTTTGACAACTTATTTTGCAAACACGTTTTTTTATTAAGAAATGAACTCAACTATCTCGAGAATTTTACATAAATTTTAGCACAAATTGTATACTCGAGTTCAAACATGTATAATACTCGGGATTGTAACACTTTAATTGAATAAGATTCAGCCTGAGCTCATTGGCTTTGTTTCCTGGGCCCAAAGCAGCTGTTACCATTTCCAACAAAGCATGTAATTCCTAGAATCATGGTGGGAAAGATGAATTGGCAAGTTATACAGAAACATGCCATCATTCATAGTATTAAAGATTCAGATATGTGCACTGGGTGATGTAACTGTACACTTTCCATAATATACTCAAAATAGCAAATGAAGATGAAGCAATTACACCCTCCACAATATCTGATACCAAACACAGACTGAACAATTCCAAAAAAACTGCACTTATTATCTAAACATCAACAGCTCAGCCTTCTTCCAAGAAACTCCTCAGCATCCTCCAGACGAATTTTCTGTACATGGAGTCACATCCAAAAAGCGAGCTAGTATGGTGCGTTAGAACAGTTTTGAGTACTCCAACAATTGGTATTCAACTCTTTTGCAGATTGAAGAACTCCCTAGAGACACAAATGTAAAGACTTTTGAGAAAACTCTATCTTCCAGTGAGTGGAGAGAGCCTTTGTATTTGATATAAATAAAAGAGTTACAAAATGTATTTGGCCAGTGGGTGTGGTACATAGAAACGAGAAGATAAGTAATAAAGGTAAGAGAACAGACTATCTATCACTAAAGATTCTGCTACCTATCAATAACCGTGGGATGTGATTTTGAATCCTGGCTATCAAAATGTAAGTTAGAAAGTTGAGTAATAACGCACAACATATTAACACCCATTCTCGGCACATTCTGATATACCAGCAAATTGCTGCGCATTTCATTATGCAATGGCCACATTTCTAGAATTTTCAGTTTCTTCATTCAGCACTTGGTACTTCGGACTGAGGTTTCCATCCTCTAGAGTTGGTACAGAAGTACGATGATTCTCACTGTCACAGAAATCCATGAACAGGATAAGTTGTAGATAATATAAATGGAACTGCAAACAATTACATATTAGTTCGTATAAGCATTAAGATGTTCTATCACAAGTATAACATGACAGTGACTTGCATTCCATACATGTGTAAGAAAACAATGTTGGAATTTACATATTAAGTTGCATTCTCAATTTGGCTCGACGGTTTTTCGTCTCCAAGAAGTTAATCAAATGAGGGGCCACAGGAATTTCATTAAAGCAAAGACATTAGGACATAGCCAAGCCTTCTCTGTGATTGAACTGACTGAGTTGGTTACCACATACAATATCCATCTTATGAAGTATGATTCTCAATTGACACCAATGCTAGAGGACATAATTTCAGAACCTAATTCATTGCCATCATGATTATTTGTGAGTTTCAAGGTTGGATATAGCCCATTTTCAATCCAATATCTGTAAATGATTAGGTTCTCACTTTAAGTCCTCAAATTAGGTACAAATAGCATTTTCCTTCTCTATTTAACTTACATTCCTGCCCGTCCACCAACCCATAATGACTGGTTCACTGATTTTAAAAGTAATTTGAGAATGAATACAACCAAATACAAGAGGATGACGATCCATAACTTGGTGTGATAAGTGGGTTAAGTTTGCGGGCAATTACTTTGTGCAAATAAAGCAATTGTTTAAGTTTTTTGCAGTCAGCCTCCAAAATAATGGAACTAGCACTGTGCAATGGCTCACTAGGTGATACTAAGCCAGAAAGTGTTGGAACGAATTCCAACCAATTGATCCACATGTTATACTATCTATTAGCAATAGCATAACACTAACTGAAATCACTAATCAGCAGGGTATTTGGATATCCATATTCATGGGGGCAGTTGGGGTATTCTCTACTTTGCCTGCATTGGCAAACAATGAGAAAATATTCTATCAGTTTCAACAATGTATCTCCATAATTATGTTTGCCCTACTTGAAAAAGGCAGTTATAAGAATTTAAGTGTACACTTGCAACACAACTGGGAGTCTAAAGCAGTTAAAGAAAAAATAAAAACCCAAAAGCTGAGAGTGGACGTACGTTCTTGAATATATGATAAGCCCAATGACAACAATTGCAAACGATAAATAGTATAGCCAGTCAACCTGCAATTTGAAGATTTGCATCTTGTCAGGTTCATTAATTCTGAAAAATTGCATGTATCAATTTCCCCATTTACTTTACATAATTATAATATCCAGGATTAGACTCAGAACGGATGGAGTATGGCTCAATAAATACTTGTAGCTATGAAAAAAAAGTTAATGTGGAAAGTTTCCCTGCTGTTTTTTTTTTTGGTAAGAAAAATTTACCTGCTGGCGGTAGAAAAATATGCGAATGAGAACTGCCCACATGTCTGATGTAAGCACAGATAGATTGAATAGTGTTGCTCCACCCATCTGTATTGAAATGTCCTCCTGTTAGAGATAGTTATAATAGAGATCCCCACCCTTCACAGTACTAACTTTTCTAGATGTTAACTCATTGCTGTATATTGAAAAAGAAAGGTCAATCGAAATGTGAGCAGATCAACAAGAAGAACCGAACAAATAAACCAGAATTTTTGTTCTTTTTTTTCACTTTCTTAGGAAGAGGGAAATTTTTTATGGTATCGGATTTTGGACAAGAATCCAAAAATTGCTGCAAGAAACAGAGCTTAATACTCTTCCTTTCACTTTAATCTTTTAATCATGGAAACCATTTGCAGCATAGAAGAAACTCTTTTTTTGGCAGACTTGCATGCTAGCATAAATCAACCAAGAAATGAAGAAAATTTTAACACAACCAAAGTGTCAATTGCATTAAAAACTGTTGCTGAGACACAAACCAACCTCTAGAACAAAAGGAACGGTAGTGTAGAACATAAAGCTTGCAAGCGCATAGCAAGTGAAGGCTATTACCTGAAAAGAAGAAAAAGCAATTTACCAAACAGAACAAGGCAGGCATTACTAAGAAATGTATGAAGTCTTAATGGAAAGGTGTTGGGGGGGGGGGGGGGTGGGGTTGGATGAAAAGGAACCAAAGATTTAGAAAGTAGTGAAAAACATAAATGTTACAAATTTTCCTTGTGTTTTGGGTACCAAAATTTTAGATATTGACATGTTTATTTGATAGGTGAACAGAAAAATTTCTGAGCAAAAGTCTCTTTGATTAAAAATGCCAGAGGTCACTTCTGTAAAAAGATACCTACCTAAGTAATAATTGAAAGATCATTCTACATGTACTAAAGCTCTTCCTTTGGAGACTAAAGACCTATTATACCTCACTCTGCTAGAAAAGACAACTGCATATAAAGTATGCCACTCAAGATTCATTGCAGAATAGGCCAAGGCTACAATAATAACCCATCAATACTTTAAGTCATGTAGTCCAACATAGGCATATCTCTGCTTCAATGCTACATGCAGTAATTTCTTGCCTCTGCTTAGTTGGGAGCCTTTTAACTTCCATGTGTCAAAGGTGATGCAATACGCCAGTAAGATTCACCCTGGGGAAGTTCACTACCTTGCCACTAGTATTAATGTCCTGTGGCCTAACGTTTAGATATTTCTGCTTAGCAACAGTGCTAAATGCAAGGAGATATACAGGTAAACACATGACTACTATGATCATAATATCTCTACCTTTGAAAGCCCAAGCAATTTAATTTGTTATCCCAACTACTTGAGGCCAACCTTCAGTTTTCTTTGAAGTCAAAATTCTCTCCTTTTAGTTTCATCCATTTGACCACTTCCTAGCAACTTCAACTAACATTTACGCAGCTATTTTTACCTAGATACATGTCTTGCACATTGGTGAAAAGGAATCACCCTGGTACAATTGATGTAATCTGGAACTTGGGCCATAATCATGATAGATGTCCACTTCCTTATCCCGTCTTATGCTGTTTTGGACCCCTAATTATGACACTTGTACTGCTCAATCGATTTTAATTTACAATACCAATACGAGGACATGATCTGCTTTCCACATAACATTTCCGGAGTAATCGAGGTTACAATCAATTAATAATGACTAGTTTTTGCCTTAACTTACATAAGTAGCATTTGTTTTCTTCCAAATACTTTTCCACCTATAATAAGGGTGCAAACATCATTTAATTCAATTTCTTACTGCCGACCGTCTATCTACCAGCTTCCATAATTTCAGATTTATCTATGAAATGACGTTGCCATATGTTTGAAGCAAGAATAAGACCACCTTAATGGTCATATGTTGTAAAACTCAGTGCTTTTCTAACCAAAGTTTTCCTCTATTGAACTTGCACACAATGGAGGATTAGGATCTCCTATGTTCTGCGTCAAGCCAGATATCATTTTACTAGATCATTTCATTCTTTAGACTTCATCTACAGCAATCTCAGGTTTATTGCCCACCTAATTAAGAAGCAAGAAGGTGAAACAAACTGATAAAGAGCAAGCAAAAAGATGTTTTGATACCCAACTACTCGGTGAATCTTTTCCACCAAGGATAGAACAATATAGCATAAAATTACTAGAACAGTCATTTCATAATACGTAATCTTGAGAAAGTGACTCCATTAGTAGAAGAAAGCAAAGAATTCTCCTGACTTGAAATAGCAATGTAATTACTAAAAAAATACAAGGATTAACTCACTCACAATTTGTGCAGACCATTTTACAGTTTCCAGAGTCTGTCTCTCCACTATAGCTCTAATAATACATGGTTAGGGAAAAGTATCATAATCAATATTCAAAACAACAACAAAAGAGTGACCATTTTCCAGGAGTGAGTGTAAATCCATTGTACTAATACATACTGTCCAGTGAAAAGGATACATCTCGCACACACTCACAAGCATTCCAAAAAGACCAATCATCGAAACAACTTCAACACGGTCTTTCTTCTTAACACAGAATTCCTGTATCAAAAAAGGATTTAGAACAACCACTGAAACAACCTTAGTAAATTCTTCCTTCAGCTTAATTCTGTGGCATCGTAATTTCTCAATGTTTAATAACCAAGCAGAAAACATGCAAATGCAGAAAACATTCAGCTTCACACAATGACAGCTGTTAATACATCACCTACAAAAGAACTAAATGCACGGAGAGAGATAGCAAAATCGACTAAAATTTTCACCAACCTCACCAACATTGCTCATTGCAAAGAAAAGTGTCCCCGCTATGACAAGTGTATCACCCAGAAGAGGTTTTGAACCAGCTGAAAGGTAAATAACTGTGATTTCAAACTGATAATTTATTTAAAGCTCGAGCTGTTAGAGAGGGTAAACATAAGTGACTATATGAATCACGCCCCTCATGTGCTATCTCTACTCGCATGTGGAGAGGTAGACAAAATAACCAGAAACATAACAACGTGCATGAACAGCACAAACACCAAATAAATGAAATTGAAGAAATGGACTTGCCCAAAACAGCCAAAGCCTAGCTCATATACCATGCTAAAACATCTCATTTAAAAGTTTAAGTTGTTAGAAAGAGAATAAGAATTTATGAACTTCAACTGTGACATGTTATGTCAACAATGAAATAATTCTAGTAGAATGAGGGGCAGACTACACTTAACTAAATGAAAACCAATATTGATGATATAGGATTAGGAGCCACAAGAACACTCAACAAAATCCCTAGTGGTTATGTTCAACTGACTGAATTAGTATACTTTTAAAATAATGCCCAATGCATGAAGATAATCAGTTTTCAAGGTGGAAGAGAAGATGTCACCTCCACCGCCCACCCCAGCATCAGAAAGAAGCACTAGAACAAGGCCTACCACGCAGACTGCTGCACCAAAGAACTGCCACACAGAATATCGTGTACCCAAGAACAGCCATGTGAGAAGTATGGCCCATGCTATTGTCCAGCAATCCAGTATTGTTACGCTAGTAATTGAAGAGTACTGGAACGCTTTATTAACTGCAGAGAACTATTCAGAATTTAAATTTTCCAAATAAAGCTAGTTACAGTAAACCTCTAAAGATACTCCTAAAATAACAAAACTAAAATTGAGGTGTTTCCTCATGTGTTTATGTTTGTTCAAAATGACAGTGGACGATTGCTGATTCCACTAGTGAGCACAACATTTTCACATCCATTATCAAATTAATCCAGACTTCCAAGTTCCACCACAAGTCTATACAAGCTATAGAATCTTACGTCTGATGATTGATGAAATCAACCCCATTATAATAGTATATCTTGTCGAAGTTTGGCCTAATGCTACATTTGTCAATTTTATTTTTCCCACAAAAATGTGATTTTCCTCGCGATCGTAAGGACAAGGGAGTTTATTGAAGATTTTTATTGTTGTTTGGTATTAATAATCTCTTTTTCTTTTTTACTTTAACAACATTTCTGAACATATACCTAAGGTTCATTGCAAGCATCAAATGATTCCGACTGCAAACTTGTCACCAAGTTGAAATTGTAGTCCCCTAAAACAAGTTGATCAATGTGCAAGACTTTGAGTGTGTGTGTGTGTGTGAGAGAGAGGGAGAGAGAGAGAGAGAGAGAGAGCAACCACCATTACTTACCAAGAAAATTGCCTTGGACATCAACAAAGCCTAGAAGAAGATACCAATACCAAGGGACCTGCAAACTCCGCCGAAGATATTGAATAGTGTTCATTAGTAAAACTCAAAGAGCAAATTAAATTACCTTGAACCTAATTAGGTCTTCAATTTGAAATGTAACTCGAGCAATATACCAGCACATAAAATGAAAAAACAAAATACAAAATACAAAATACTTTAAGGTGTCATTTTACCAGTAATTTCTGACGACGGTATAGCAAGATGCTTCCATACACCAAAGTTAAAGCCAAGTAAGAGAAAAATGACAGGGTAAGAGGAGTATCTACCCCTACACATACCCAACAGCCACAAGTTCAGGGAAATTCTTAACAAGGCAAAAATAATTCAAGAACCCAACAAAACAAAAAAACAAAACAAATACAATAAAATTAACTACAAGGACCAATAAATAAAGACAAGAACAATAACAATTAGGAACAAAACAATGAAAAATTAAATCATGCAAAAAGGGCATGAAAGATTACCAAGACTGGCAACTAGAGATGAAGAGAAGCTCATAAGTGCCAATATAAAAGAAACCACCTGACCCAGAAACAGTAAGTACAAAGTCCGCACAATGGTCTCATTGTTTCTCCACCTGATGTTGTTCATGGTTCACTAACCAAACACAATGCAATCAAACTTCTAAGCCATAACACTGAATGAAAATTTAATCAAAACCCAATTGAAAAGGAGCTTCGCTGTTGCTGCCAAAAGTGAACGTCAAGATTCTGATATTTATATACAGACCCTGTGTGTTGGTCTGGTTTCTATTGAGTCAGTGTCATAGATCTTCGGTTGCTATTTAGCTAACCTTCTCCGGTTCTTGAAAGAACAAGTTGAGAATATTCAATAGCAACAAAATACTAATAAATTCAAAGGTGATATAACGTAGAAAGATGGTTAATAAACTATACAATAATGGGGTCGAATGGCCGTAGCCCCATTTTTTCTGGGAGTGTGAGAGAGTGAGAAACGGACAGAATGGCGAATACAACTTAACAGAGTTGAAAATATTAGACGTAACATATACATATCATCATTTTATGTTATCTTATAATAAATTTTTAAGTAGATGATGACGCATTTCTAAAACATCAACAAAAATCAACACTATGTCCTTAGAATGCTTGTGTTGCGACATGTGTCCTTCGTACGTTGATTCCTCTAAACATTGTTATTGAGACACGTGTCTTCGACATCAAAGTGCTCTCAAACCCATTAACGATGGACACATGCTCTCGGCATCCAAGTTCCCTCAGTGCCATCTGCTAGTGACACGTGTATCGACACAATGAATTTTGCAGACTGTGAGTGACACGTGTACTCGACATACGACACTTCGGAGTGTCGAGATAACGACATGTGTCCTCGGCTTGATTGACTCTCTCGATGTCTATTTCCAAACACGTCGTCTCGACTTCAGGATCCCGAGACAAAGATGTCAGAATGATGACTATCATTATTTGTGTCTAACGGTAAAGATGAGTCTATTTAAGATCATCCAATGAATTTATTGAAAATCTGTCATGTTTTATATTATAAATTTTAGGGATAATTCGTACCTGAAGCAACGATACAATGTAAGTGATAAGAGATTGATTTTAAGAATAAAAGAATTTAATATAAATAATTTTAAAAAAAATATTAATAGTCATTGAATAAATTTATTTAACGCTATGAGATCCTTATTAAAATACTTATTCAAGTCTATCATAAGTGTCACTGGGTCAAATTTATTTGGTAGCTGGCACGATCCACTTTAACAAGAGGTCAAAGTCAAACCGAACAAGTCCCATGAATGAATGAGGTGTGTAACAAGCGTTCAACATTTACTTTCTGCTCAAGCCACCTAACATATTCGTGACATCATAATCTTTTTAATTATTAAAAATATATATTCACGTCGGGTTCAATTAAATTTGTGCGAAAAATTATTCAATTTTCACATGATTTGTTTAATTAAACAAATAAAAATTTATATATTCAATATAATTTATTTATTAAACGAATTATTCGACATAATCCATTTTAACTCGTTTAAGTATTTTTAAACATAATATATTTTATTTTCTTTAAATTATTCAATTCCTTAGTTTGTGCAGTGTAACTGAATCTCTACACCAAGAAGAGAAGTTTGACTCATAATTCATCTTTCTTTTTTTTTTCTCCCTCTATTCTCTTTTTTTTTTTAAATTAGATCAACGTGTTTTATTAAAAATTTGAAAAATAATATTTATACTTTTGATCAATTAGAATCATTGAATAGATATTGAGAACTAATAATACCGAGATTCACAACTAATCAATGACAGTGATTTATTAAATTAATAAATTACACCAAAATTTTAAATCGAAGTAGTCGAATCTACTAATTTAACTATGGACATTAATTATTTATAATTTCATAAATTATTTAATAAGTGTAACAATGTACTTGGGATAAAGAAATCATGCAACGTGAATGCAGCTAAGCAACACGCAACTCCAACGCAACAATAATCATTTCCTTGTTAATCTGGGTGTGAACCAACTTGAAGAGCTAGTGGTTCTTACATCGACACTTCATTGTCTTTTACATTTGTTATTAGTGGACATCTCTGATACTAATAACGAATGCGATACTAATACACCTAACCCTAAAAAGCGAAGTGGATCTAATGCTCGGCGAGAAATACGAAAATTGAATTTCGTTTAGAAATCGTAACAATCACTCCCATTCAGTTACAAATTTGAGATTTTGATTGGGGAGATTATAGTAGACCAAACCTGATCCCAAGTTTTTCTCTTTCGTCCAGTGGTTCTATGTTTCGCATCCAATAGTCCAACAAGCTATTATCATCAGGGGGTGCAAGACTTCGTTTGAATAGGTACGTTTAATGATCCATGCCTGCTGATTCCGATTGAATATTGGATTGGACCACCTTCACAATCCCAAAATTTTTTTTTTTAAAAAATCACCACTGCACAAGCCGACACATGGCCTTCTTTCATTTGCAGGATTCCACATTCTTTCTTTCTTCCATTTTGTTTTGAGAAAATTTGTGTGAATTTAACATATCACTCTCGTGTAAAAGTTATCACAAAATTAATTATCAAATGACTTACAATTTATAGTCGCCTTATAACAGATTTTGGCGAGTTACTAGTAACTAAGTGACTAATTTGGTAGAGTTGACGACCTCTTTTCAACGGATGAGGGAGTTACGGTGCTCTCTACAAGATTTGGTCAAAGGATGATGTGGGGGTTAACTTTTTCAAGGCGACGTAGATGAGGCTCTTGGATAACTTTACATACTCCTTTGGTGATGTAACTCCTTGAACCCTGATGAGTTTAACTGAGCATGGACCCCTTTTAACTGGACTTATTGAATCGTTGTTTAGTTGAACTCTTAATTTAAACTGGACTTTCAACATGAACTGGGTTATTGGGCCTGATCCATCAAATTATATCAAATTTTAAGGTCTAATTAATATTATTCATAATATTTTATGAGTAATGCCATTAGAACCTATGTAATGATATATTAAGTAATGGAGTACCAATGAAAAATATTATTAGGTAATGTCATTATTACATTATTATTTCAGTAAATTAGATCAATTTTTTAAGTTTAAATATTATTACTCATATTTTATTGTTACAGTAGCAATAATCTTGCATTTAAAGATATTTTATAATACCAAAAATAAAAAATTGATCGTATAATTTTTGAATTTATTTTTAATAAAAATAAAATATGGAAGAGGTAGGTTGAGACATAAGAGAGATACAGCTGTGAACTAGTGGCTTGTCTTACATTTGGAGTGGTGCAATGAAAAATAATGAATATCTTCTTCTTCATCCTCCCTCTCACTCCATAGAAAATCTGTAGACCCATTTCCATCAATATCCGATCTTTGATTCCTATAAATCTCCTCGTTCTTTCTCCTACTATTAGCCTTGGTGGGTTTTGTTATGTTCATTCAGAGTCATACAATACCTAAAGATTTGTTATATTTAAAGATCTAAGCACTCAGGGAAGGGTTGTATGGCTGCAGAACATCCCGAGAGTTGCTGTTTATGTGCAAATAACTGTGGCTTCTTCGGAAGCTCTGCAACCCAAAATCCATGTTCCAAATACTATCGACAATTCTACCTGAAACACGAAGAGTGAAAGTCTGCTCTAGAGATATCTCTATCTGCTTCATCCGTGTCACCGGTGGAGCTGCCGTATTCATCGGCAGTGTCCTAGCCGGAAACTTCCAATGGACGGCGGGTGTCGGTGGCGGAGGTGTTGGTTGTGCAGTCGAACCGGTGCTGGGTGTGCCGGAAGGGGGTGGGGGCCGGCTTTAGGTGAAAGTGTGGGACAACGTTTTGTGGGACCCATCGGTACCCTGAGCAGCATGGGTGCACGTTTGATTTCAAGGCCATGGGGAGAGAGGCCATAGCAAATGCCAAACCTGTGATCAAAGCGGCGAAGTTGGAGAAGATATGATGACTTTGCCTTTGATGAAAGGTTAGATTATGGTTGTGATCAAGGTCGACATGGGGTACAGATTGGCATGTGGATATTTCCTGTTTGAGTGTTAAGAATAATAATAATATGGATCAAAGTGCATTCTTAATTATTTTATTTAAAAATAAAAAATAAAAAATTGATAGATAATAACCAAAAAATAGAAAATTGTATATATCACAACAGGTTATGCCAAGGCGCATTTTGACCGGTGGTGGCCCATAAACTTGACCTAATGAAAAAAATTAAAAAAAAGAAAGAAAAAGGAGTTTAGATTTAAAAAAAAAATCAATAAGAAACTATCCTATGGCCAGCATATCTGAATTGAATCTGAATCCGAATCTAAATTCGATTAGTCGAATATAAATTAATATTTTTTTACCGATAATTCGAACTCAAATTATAATCCGAATTCGAATCTAATATCTTATATTTTATCGATTTGAATTTATATATATCTAATTTATTTATATATTCTTACATAAATATTAAAAAAATTAAGTGATTATTAAAAAAAATTTATTTTAAAATTTAGGTACAATTTGTTAAAATGAATTTAATTAAATTATTCGGATTGGATCTCAGATCTTTAACGGATTTGAATGTGGATCACAAAAAAAAATCTACTCAATTATCAAATTCGGACTTCTTAAATCAGATTTAGATTCAGATCAATCAAAATCCGATATGTTGATATACCTATGGGCAAAGGCCCAACAAGTTTTTGACATAAAAAAACTCACATATATAAACTATTTTAAGAAATATTGAATTATGTGCAAGGTATTAACCAAGAATGCCATAACGATTGTGATTTTGGGAGTTGATTACGGCACTAATTTTTTTTTTTTGATATTATACCTCTATTTATTATATTTGTAGGTTTTTTTTATCATATTTATGAGTGCTTTTATCATTGTTGTTGTACTCAAAAAATGGTAAAAATAATTATTACAATAGGAATAAAAATATCTATAAATGTGATAAAAATGCCTTCAAATATGATAAATTACCTAGACAAGTGATAAAATTAGGTACCACAAATGTAATAAAAATACCCAAAATAGTAATAAATCATCCAAAAAAATTATAAATTTTTTTATTATATAATAAACTATAAACTATAAAATTAAAATTACGGTACCAATATTTTTTTTTTTGGATAGCGTAGTCAAGACAGTGATTTAGTAATGAAGGCATAGAAGATGAAAATCCCAAGGTCAAATAGTCATGGCTGATGGAGAATGTAATGGTAATGCATAGGACTTTGTGTTTCTTGTTGTGGCCTCTTTTGGGTAAATGTGTACTTAAAATTTTTTTTTTTTCATTAAATTATACGTTGAAATTAAGCCAAAGAGATTGAACTATGAGTAATGCTATACTCATCAAATTTTGAGATTAAATTTGAAGTTCAAATGATATGATAGTTGATTATTTGTAATTTTTATTGGAGTTTAAATGACACCACACTAATCAAAGAAATTCAAGTCAACTGTCATATTATTTAAGCTCCAAATTTAATCTTAACATTTGGTCAGTCTAGTATTACTATTAAATTATTGAAATTTGTCTCGTAAGCCAAATAAATACGGACAACCACTGATATTTTGACACTTTAGCAATTATCTCTTATTTTTTTAAACTCTCATTTCGGCAACGGTCATTAAATGCTAGAGGTGCAACTCGGGCGGGTTGAACAGTCAACCCTAAGTATATAATTTTCAACCCTAACCCTACCTCGGGTTGAGAAACTCAACTCGAGCGCTGACCGAGTTTAATTTGAACAGGCTCAGGGTGAATTCAAGTTAATGATTTCTGGTTGATTTTGGATTATTTTACTGGTTCAATTCGAGTTGAGTTCAGGTAGAGCCCAAAATAAACTTGTTGTTCTAAAACTAATACATATATTACATAATATTCACATAAATTAACAACTAATAACTTCAACCAAATTTTTAACAGTGCTAATGTTATAACAAAAATGAAAATGAACGAGAGAGACAGATAACGATAGAACAAAAATAAAAAATCAATGCTAATGTTTTATATATATATATAATTTTTTTTATTAATTTGTTGGGTTCGGGTTTGGTTTGAACCTATGAACCTGAGACCAACCTAAATTGAATTCGAGTTGATTTTTTTGACCCAAGTATTTAAAAAACCTTACCTAAGCCCAAATTTTTTTGAGTTGGATTTGGGTTGAATTCAAATTGCCCAACCCAAATTGCACCCATATTAAATGCAATACAAACGCATTCAAAAAGTCTACATTATACACGGTGGCTAAAATTGTGAGAAAACATTACACTAGACCTTGGTTAAGTTAGAGTACATCCACCAAAGTTAACAACCCAAATTAAAAAAAAAAAAGTCGATTTTTTGAATTTTTTGGGTTCTTACCCAAATGAACAAAAAAAAGTTTTACTGTACTAGATCTCCAGCATCAAGTTTTCTCGTCAATTTTTTGGGTTCTTTCCCGATTTCTTAGGTTGTTAACGTGCAGACACATTTCGACAATAGTATCGTAAAGATTGGAAGAGAGGTTTCAAACAAAAAAAAAATATTACAAATCCTTTTCTATTGATCCTACATGAGTAATGAATTGTAATTCGAGCACAAACAAGATTTGTTGTTTATCGTATTGTCTGTGTGAAATTCTTCAACAAATTTATAGTTACTTGTAATTTTTAGATTTTTCTGTCACGTAGTTGCGAAGTTGAAAATTTTCAGCATGTCGGATTTTCAATTTTATGTGTCAAACATCAATTAATATAACTGGCTGTTTTGCTTATCTCAAAAATGAGAGACCATAATAATGAAGCTTATAGAAATTAAAGGTAAACTTAATGAGTTTGGTCATGATCCTCTGAAATTTGGCACTTGAATGACTGCAAATTTCAAAGTTCTCTGTTCTATGGTATGGGTAATAGGTAGTGAAGTTAACAATCAATTTTGATCGATATTGTAACAATAATGATAATATCACACATGTTATAACTTGTTTTTAGTGTGCATTAAAATATTACCATACCAAATTAAGCTTAAACAACATGACAAAAAAACTAATATATCCATCGCTAAGGTTAAAAGGAACTAAGACCAATTACATTACGATAACTACAAAAATCTATGTTCTAAATGAACATGGATGGTTGTTGCTTCCAATTCTTTCTCTCAAATAAGAACTGAACTTGCAAGAGGAAAATCACACTTGTATTGATACTAGTTGAGTTACATTTATAGGGAGACTGTTACAATGAGATAAGCTAAAAATGGATTGATCCTTATCGTTTCAATTTAGTGTGTTTATTAGACCCTATCTTATCATCTAATACATTTAATTTTTGAATTTGAGCAGTATCCTTAACACGCCGCCGCAAGTGAAGCGGCCTATAAAGGAGGTTGAGCTTGCCACGAAGAAGGATGAATCTTGGTGTGGACAACGCCTTAGTTAGAATATCAGCAACTTGATCTTTGGTGGAAATATAGCGAATCTCAAAGACTTTTGGTTGCAACCTTGTCCCGAACAAAGTGAAGACCAATTCAACATGCTTCATGCGACTGTGAAAGATGGGATTAGCAGTGAGATATATGTGGCACCAATATTGTCGCACCATTACACAAGGCACTGGGTTTGTGGAGGAATGTTCAATTCATGTAGCAGAGATTGGAGCCATGTGACTGCTGCAGTGGTGTCGGCTAGGGCCCTATATTCTGTTTCAGTGCTAGAACGAGCAATACAACGTTGTTTGCGAGACGACCAAGAGACCAAGTTCGGCCAAGGAAAATAGCATATGCACCAGTGGATTTTCGATCATCTGGGCAGCCAGCCCAATCAACGTTTGAGTATGCAGAAATATGGAAATAAGTGGAACGTTGGATTGGGAAACCAATGTCTAAGGTATAGTTGAGATTGCGGAGGATTCACTTAACTGCTGACTAATGAGTAGTTGTTGGAGATTGCATAAATTGGCACACTTTGTTCATTGAGAATGCAACATCCAACCGAGTGATGGTAACGTATTGAAGAGCAACAACGACACTGAGATAAATGGTTGGGTCATTGAATGGTTCGCCAACAGATTTGCTAAGTTTAGTGGTTGGGGCTAGCGGATTGGAGAGAGACTTTGCACCGTCCATGGAGCAACGTTCTAGAAAATCAACAATGTATTGTCTTTGATTTAGGATAATGGAATGAGACTCATGTTGAACCTCAAGAAGAAGCTAAGGCACCCAAGATCCTTGGTGGCAAATTCATAACTGAGTTTAGAGATAAGCAATGAAATATCAAACGAAGAATTTGTAAAAATAATTATAGTTTTAAGCATATATTTATAATTGGAATTAATAAAAATTGCTACTAAACTTTTGGCCAAATCAACAATTATTAGAATTATGATGTGAGCAATATAATTATGAGTGTTGTAATCTAAAATTCGAAATAAAACATGTAAACAATAGTTAGATATTATAACATGCAATTTAAATAAATATAGAAAAGATATAAACATGCAATTTATATAAATCAAATAAATAGATTTTGAATGAGCTGGCCTGCGAGTCCGAGAGACGTGTATGATCACTGTCATAAAGCAGTTGAGCCTTTCCATGTGAGGGTACCGACGAATACCAATAACTTCAAGATCTAACCCAAATATTTGCAACAGCACCTTCTCAATGGTCACGTCCACTAGAAGGTTGAAATGAACTTGACTGGACTCGAGTTACCTAAAAATAAAATAGATGATAATTGAAAAGGTAGACCAAGTATAAAAGAATGAAAATAATAATCAGAAGGTCTCTTGTTGCTCTTGAAACAAACTTCTCAAAACAACACTTTATATAGCCAATGTGTTAACGTACACATGATTGGCTTTTAATGTCTTTCAATTTTTATCTTTTAGCCGTTTGACACATGTTGTCTTTTCTTTTCTATAGTTTTTATTGTTGGGCAACCTGACTTTTTAATGGTTTTA